TTGGGCCACTGAGTGTCTCATAGCTCAGTTGGTGGACCCACCGAGTTGGAAATCCAGTGGTTTCTGCCTTGAATCCCACCGCGGCCTAGATTTTCATCTTCAATCATCCCCCAATACCGCCAAAGTATTCGACCATATTTAAATTTATATGGCATGTAAAGGGAATATTAATAACCCATCCGTATAATAGATAAAATAGTCCAAAGTAGGGAAGTAGGCAAGGTCAGATAAATATCTGAAAAGTTGTATCTAATGATTGATTTTTTTACTGGTTCCACGATTTACTCAGATGTATGTTACTGAAGGGTTGATCTAATCTAATAATCAGTGAACGTTGACTTTTGTGGAAAGAGCACTGTTGAAAATGAAATGTACTCAGCAAGCACATGGACATTCATGCAGTAGGCAATGAACCACACCTATTGTGTGACGAGGAGCCTAAACTGCCGAAACTAGTGAACCTTATCTCCACTTTGAGCACTGTAATGGTGGGTATAGTATTATTTATTTACTATTACTCTAAATTTGCTGGTAAATAACACCGTGTGTATCACTGTGCTATATTTTAATTTAATCCTACTATTGGATTGCTAAATTAAGTACAGATAATGTTGTATTATTTCTACTTATCGATTGTAAAACTATTATCATAAGAATTTTACGTTGTTGCTGATGCATATTAAGACATTGACCGACTACCATTCAGGTATTATATACCTTAATTCTTCAGCGTCCATTTTATTTACGTGTCCGTTTCATAGCACTGTGCAGGAGGCAGACATGCACGTGCACACTAGTCGTTTATGTGTTTGTTATACGCGCCAACTTTTCCTGATGACATTTCAACTGTATTTATGTTATTTACTTATGATTTACTGCTGTACAATCAGTGACGACGTCCCTAGAAATTTATTGGACAATTTTTTCTCTTCCGATTTGTATGATTATACGATTTAAGTAAACCTCTGGTCTGTAGGCTTTTCCGTACTCGTATTGTAGAGAACGACAAAGACGGAAACGCAGGACGAAATGTTTATTATGACATCTTGTGCAGTACTGATGAAAAATTGTCATTTGCACAGTGTCTTTCATTTCATTTTCTGCTTCTATCTCAAATTGGTCTTAATAGGTCCACTTTGTCTCTTGCGTTTCTCTGGGCAGAATATTTACCCGTCGCTGGTAATTGACTATGATTTCTGCCGAACTCTCAACATATACTACTTAGATGAATTTTTATCAGTAGCACCCACTAGAGTATTACTTTCTTTTTTTACACACCTATGCATCATGGCTGTATTTACACTTATTTTGGCTATTCCTTAATCATTTTGATTATTTGAGTGCGATACCCGCAGTTTGGCAGACTAGTATTGGTACTGGGTGATGATTGAAGGGGGAATGAACTACTGGGTTTCCAACCCAGTGCTCTACCAACTGAGCTACGAGGCTCAACTGGTGACCAGATTTTCGTTTCACTTCAGTCACCAAGGGATTTTCTTGACTGGAATGTGAATTCATCACGCGTTACTATCTCTTGATCGTACTCACACTTGCTGTCCTTAATCAACGTTAAGTTTTCAATGGTTGTCCAGTTAGTTTAAGGGGAAAACCCACATAACTACAAGAGAGTTGAAAAGATCCAAGCTACTCCAATAACATGTTAGGTGAAATTCAAAACTTAAAGACTGCTTCTTTTTTTTTTTACTGTGGAGATAACCTGAAGCAGTGAGGGAACCATAACAAACTAGAGTAGCAGCTCAAACCAACAGCCTGTTAATTCATGAAATCTGATTTAGGGAGCGGACGAAACGAAAGGTAAAGGAAGTGCCTGGATTCTATCCAAGTTATCGTTCATCACAGGTGAACACAGTGAATTGACGTTTTCAACAGTGATTTTGCATTAGTGGACTTTCGTGAAGGAGGGTGGAAGTTTTGGACAAATAGCTATGAACAAAGGTTATCACTACGCGAAAGATAGGATAGATGCCTTTCGAAGCTAGATGACACAAACAACAATGTAGACAGGCCACTGTAGGTAGATAAATTGATCGACCAATATGTGAAGCGTCTAAACGAAGTAGTTTTCAAACAGAAATATCGAGATTCTCTTGTGAAAGCTAACATTTCTCCTAATTTTATGAATCTTCAAATCATCGGGCAGAATAGTTTAAAATATACGCCTATGACTTCATTTCCAAGTATCTTGGTTACCTTGTCACCTATAGATTTCTTCAGGCTCACTCACACTATTTCTAAACATAAAATTCATACAATATTGTTAAAACTTTCTATTGCTACACAAGTAGTATATTTTACTATTTTCACAGAGAAATATGTTTTGTGTATACCTTATATATTTATTTGTCCCTTGGATTCCTAGTGGAACATACGGTTTCAGTAGCACGTCGCCATTTCACTCTGTACTCTTCAGTCTTTTCAACCTGGCTCCAAGATTGTCCATGAGCTTTCATTTCTTCTTCACACGATCTCCTCTATGTCACCCTCGGACACCCAACTTATCGTTTCCCATTTGTGTTCCACTCCAGTGCCTGGCCTGGCGCATGATGTCCCCAATCGGTCTTCTCAGTGTATGCCCAATCCATCCCCACTTTCTTTTACTGCATATTTGTTAGGCGATGGGTTCTTGGTTAGTTCGTTGCGGGACTAGCCAGAGTTCCTCCTTGCTTATTCTTATTGTTCGGGCCATTTGATCTTCAACTTCAAGTGAGCGTCTGGGGCAGATGTTGATGTATGTCTTTAGTTTTTTGGAAACGCTTTTCGTAACACGCCAAGACTCTGAACCATCATATAGAAGCACTGACTTGACTGACATTCGTGTTGGAAATCCGGATCTTGTTCATGCTTTATACTGGGTGCAGTGCAATAGATCTCCACATTGATTATTTCAGATTAATTCAGGAAGGCCTGTCTTCCTGTCTTTCCTATGTTCGCTTTCATATCGTCATCTGTACCGCACCTGTGGTTGAAGCGATGCTGCTTAGGTAGGTGGATGGAAAAGACAACTTCCTTTAGATTTCTCCCGTTGATGGTGATTGTTGTTGTTGTTGGTTGTGTATCTTCGTCACCTGTCTTCTCTACGTTCATCTTCGCTTCCCTGCCTCCTCTACCAACTTGTTGATCCTCGAGTTTGTGCGACATTGTGGGACATAAATCATCATCGTTGGCGAAATCCAAATCTTCTTCTGGGGTCTTTTCACCGGCCCATCTTTCACTCCCCATAGTTTGTTGCATAATCCAGTCCAGTCGGCCAAAATCAAGATGATCGGTGATAGTAGGTGGCAACCTTGTCTTACTCCTGTCTTCACTTCAAAGGCATCAGTGAGCTGAACTTTCCATTGTGAATCACTTGGCATGTAGCATCCTCATATAGCATATAGCTGCTGCTGAATGAGGTTGATAAAAGTTTGTGGCAGTAAAACCATGGTGTTGAAGTAGCAGCTGCCAAATTACTTCTCGGTTGACGTTATCGAAGATCTTTTCAAAATTGACGAAGTTAGGGTGAAGAGTTGACTGCTATTCTATGCTCTATTCTATGATGACGCGTAGCGTAGTGTTGCAATTTAATGTGCACTTGATTTGTTTTTCCCGAAGCCAGCCAGTTTGTTCCGGTATTAATTTTGAATGGAGAGCATTTAGTAGTCTCTCCAGTCATGACGCGGCCTAATATTTTGGTTGCTTTGGGTGGACAGGGGTGGAACATGATTCCGCACCAGTTCTTGCAAAGACTTAGATCACCCTTCTTTGGGAGTTGGATAAGATAGCCGTTCTTCCAGTCGACAGGCTTGTACCTCTCCTTCCTTCTTTGCAAACTTTCTGCAACAGTAGTGGAAGCATATCCGCCAATGTCTCTGCGTCTGTTTCCAGTGCTTCTGTAGGATTTTGGATGCCTTATTTAAAGGATACTACATGTTTTCAGCAACCAAATGCAGGTTAGTGCAGTAGACCATCAGTCACACTGATTGCATGAGACTACCTGTCTTCAAGAAATGCCAGTGACTAGTACGGGGTTCCGTAATCTACTGGCTACAAGTTGTATGTCTAAGCTTACAAGAGAATATTGTATGTTTTGACAATGTTGATGTCAAGTATTCTGCCTATTTTACTCATTTATAACGGAACAACTCAAATCTATAACCACCACAATGGCTAAAATTCTTGTGAATATGAAGTGCTACACTGCTCATAATATGTTGTACTGAATCGACACAATGAAATTAACTCAACCGATTACTGAGAAGCTAGAGAAGTAATGGACCAATTGGAAAAGTGTTATGTTTAACTAATTGATCTCTTACTAGCCGGCATTGTTGTTGTTGTTGTTATGCGATAGAGTTCCTCGATATGGATGCATAATTGCACGCTTTCAGCCTAGTTTAGTTCCTAGAAACAAATGATATTTTATGTTGTTGTTTATTTCTTCGCTGACTGGACCGAATCGGTCGGTTTCTGTTGGCAAATGGGCTCCTGAGCGAAAGCTTCAATATTGCCTATCGTTTCAATTTTACATTAATGATAGATACTGGCTAGCAACAACTAACAATATAAAAGTTAAGTGCATTCCACCAGAAGTGTCTATCATAACTCGATGGTCTAGTGAATAACTTCCTGGTGTTTGAAGCGACCGGTCCCGGGGTTTGGGCCTTAGTAAGAACAACATCGCTCTCTCAGAGGTAGGAACATCTAGCCAATGAGTTCTAAAAAGGACGAGATGCAGGCCTAGCATTCCACTGCCAGCCACCATCCGTCATTACTATAAAAATGATATTTTATGTCATATATCAAGCTGGCTTTTTTGAGCCGTATCCAGTTGAAAGTTGACGTGATAATCCAAGTAATGTCAGTTGCATTTTCCGTGTTTTAAGTGTCAAGTGGTTGTTATTTAGGCATGTACTTTTCTCTTCTACAAAATATTTATGACTTAACTAGGTTTATACACGTTGTGTAACTGTTCATAAATGCAGTTTTCCACCTTTCCGTAGGATGCAGCCAAGGTAATAAAGCGATTACATACGGATGAACAACCTCCAGCTGATTTACCATTCCTTGATTTGGATAAATGTCCTTCAGGTATTTTGGATGGATCTACTTCAGATTTGGGAGCTTTAATTCTTGGTGTTGAATCTGCAGACTGTTCAAATCAGTTAAACAATTCTGGAACTACAATTTCAGTACCAGGTAGTGGAATGATGAGTGGATTTATTCGTTCTACTCACAAGAATGCAAAAGATGAATACTCTAGTTTACGTTCACCATTTATTTGTGGCATTAGCATAAAGAGTATTAAAGTAAGTTCATAAATGATGATCAGTTTAATTCAAAGCAAATTGTTCACAATTTGGGTTTCTTTTTACAGTATATGATGTTTAATTATGGTATCAATAATCGGTTGATAAGTTCGTTGTGATTTCCGAAGTGAATAGAGATTTTAATTTAGAGGTAGTATTCATCATGGACTGACATCATTTAAAGGAACATTGGAAACCTGAAAGCACTGGACAGCTGTTCCGTCCTAGTATACGAGTAGCTTCGAGAGGTGATTCCTGAAGTTCCAATGAGAAGTCATGACCGATGGAGCAAATCTAGTTGCCATGAGGACAAATACTCAACGATGACATTAGATGATGGTCACGCTATATCTTGAACTGACAGAAGTTGGACATATAGACCATTGGATTCTGACCCAGTGGCTCAATGGTAACGTGCTGCCCACGAGATCTTAAGGTTTTGGGTTCGATCGGTGAGGGGGATCATGGTTGCGCACTGCTGAGGAGTCCCATACTAGGACAAAACAGATGTTCAGTGATCCCAGTTGATCTCAGTTCGTGATGAATACCAACTCCAAAAATCACTAAATCCCCACAAACCCCCAAATTCAATATTGTTCAAATTTTTAAAAATTTCCATCGCAACTCAAAAGCCATTTGAGTGAACAAAGAATATTCTTTTCGATAACTTCTTCAGGTCCTACAGTTATATGTACATATCAACAATATTGAGATTACAGCTTATCAGTTTGTTGGTAATATTGTACAGTTGAGGAAGTCAACTCAGAGGAAGGGTTGTGTGAACGTTTTTAACGGAACCAATTGTTATTAGGACTCAATTCAAAATAATTAGTTAGTGAAACGATTATACAACTATATAAACAACACTATAAAGTGGTACTGTGATAAGACAGTAGGAAAGTGGTTATGACAATTAGGTGAAATAAACTAAGAAGGATAAAATAGATAGATAGATAGCAGGGAATTAGGTTGTCTGGGGTAGGATGCTAATGAATTTGTGCATCCTGAATTAGGTCACGGTAGTTGTGACGGTAACACTTGCTCCCTTTGAACACACAACTCGGGTTGTTTGATCCTGATTCTTACTATTTCTGGAGTTTTAAGGATCCTACTCATAAAATTGTATATAAATTAGTACTTAAGACAACATCAGGAAGCATAGGAAGTGGTAACAACTGGTAGGTGGAGATTTGTCAGTGAAAAATACATTATTGTAGATAGTGGAGAATATTTGTAGCTCAGGTGGATGGTCTTGGCTGTATTGTGTTCTCTGAGCTCAGGGTTCTCGGGATGACAGGCATCAGTGGTTTAGAATTCTTGGATGACATGGCTGCAAATCGGTCACTCCTCACTCGAATATTTGCGGAAACCTTTATCTTCAAACTGTTTATTTTCCCACCCAATTTTTTCCACCTCTTCTTTGTATCTAACTGTAAAGTGTGGCAACTTGAAGCGATCCACCTGTGTGTGAGGTTCAACATTGGTTTGGTCTCACTTTACAGAGAAGATCCGCTTACATGAACTAATCCTGGCCAGTAACTAGTTTACTCTGTACTTAGATTATTATCTTCTGAGTTGGTTTATGTGGCACCGTGAATTGCATTCAGTCGACCACAATCAAGAAGATAATCGGTGATAGAAAAAAACCTTTTGTAATCAAATGCTTGTTTATGAATTTATCAGGGTAGCCATTTTCGATTAGTATGTTGCACAGAGTCGTCAGTTCCCCCTCAGTTGTATCTTCGGAACATGCAGCCTACATTCTGTAATTTAAAGATTTTACTAAATTTCGTTTTTTGCTGAAGGGGACCGAAGTTGAGGAAATGTGTGTATTGCCTCGTACACGTAATTTTCTTCGACATATTCCTCTTTATCGACCCATCTTTCCATCTTGATAGAAGAACACCAAAAAAAGTGCACTGCTAAGAAGTCCTATACTAGGACGAAACAGATGTCCATTGCTCCCACGTTTGCAATGTTCCTCCAATTGATAATAAATACCAAGTTGAAAGGTTACTAAATCCGGACAAACCCCAAATTTAATATTGTTCAAATCACTGTAACTCAATAGTCATTTAACTGAGCAAAAGGGTATTCTTTTCATGAACTTCTTCTTCAGATCCTACAGTACAAATTAAGGGAATACGCATTAACAATATTTAGATTTCTCTTAGGAATTTGTTAATAATATTATACAGTTGGTGGAGTCAATCGAGAAAAGTTGTGTGAACGTTTATGATAGAACAATTTGTTACCTGGATTCAATCCAAAATAATTGTTTATCTCAACGATTATATAGCTTATGTAATACTATACGGTGATAGTTTGATAAATTATTATAGAGGTGTTTATGACAATTAGATGAAATGAACTAAGAAGGACAAATTAGGTTAAGAGAATTTATTGAAATTATTGCAGATAGCAGGGAATTAGATTATCTGGGATAGGATGCTAATGAATTTATGCATCCCGAATTGGGTCACGGTAGTTGTGACGGTAACACTTGCTCCGTTTGAACACACAACTCGAGTTGTTTGATTCAAACTATTCTGCAGTTTGAAGGATCCTGAGCTGACTACCTTTCGGTAAGTTGATGGGAACACGGTACAGAATGGAAAACGACTCATTCATATCCCGTTTATGGTTCATTTCAAACAAGTGTGCTAATATGGAACTGGTAATCATCTTTACCACGCTTCGAGGTGTTCCTGAGCATGGACAATTAAATTCCTATATGTCTTGTTATAAAGAATTTATCCGATGAATTCTCGCTTCATTTAAGCACACATACACACAGATGGATAAGTACACAAATCTGATACATTACAACCAGGTTGGTGATGCTGAACGAAATGATACACAACTCTCGTGTAAACAAAATAAAAGTAAATACCTGCATATATTGAAATGATCAAATCACAGTTTTTATAGCATAAGTTTTGTTCTATAATAAACATAGAAAATGTATATTATTATCATCAGTAAACATGTATTACAAGCCAGTATAATAATTAATCGGACATTGATTTCTTCGTTTAGATCGTCTTCAACGAATTTTCATTCTAAAGTCGATGTTCCTTTTTCACTTTTTTTGCTTTGATGGGGCATTTTTAAAACTGAATTCAGTCCTATTCACATTTCTTCCTCATTGAATGCAGGATATTATTACTTGTTTCCAAGTTTCACACTTCTATTTCATGGCAAGCGTGTTTCTGTTATTCGTTACTGTTACATTAAAATGGTGTATAAATTAGTACATAGGACAACATCAGGAAACACAGGAAGTGGTAACAACTGGCAGGTGGAGATTTGTCACAGAAAAATATACGGGGTCGGGTCCGATCGGATCGAAGTATAAAATGCAAGTACATTACTGACCAGAATATCAAACGTGGACATTGTTTGCAGATATCTTTATCCTTGCCGTTAGCAATTTCTCATCCAACATTATCGTAGATAGCTTTCACTCAACCTCACAAGAGTGACTGATGAGGCAGCATACATCTAGGTGGATGGTATCAAGACGAAGAATGATTAACGAGTAGACTTTTTAGGCTACAATGGAGTTAAGAGTTTTTAGTCTAGACCCGTATAGTGATAAGTCACACTAATCTCCGTCGTACTCTATGCAGTATGGATACGGAGTCGTAAACACGACTACCAGCGATGCCGTTTACAGAGAGTATGCAGTTTGGCGTTGCTCAGTAGTCAAAGCTAGAAACGCAGCGCAATTGACGAGTAACGAGAAAGAAGTCCAAGTGAACAGCAGATGTTTCTCATTGAAAATTTCTGGTCGTTAGAGATAAAAGTATTAGATCCTCGTTGAGCATCGCAGTTTGTGAATTTCCTACCCTTTATACTTCTACGCGGTATTGCATTTTCTATTCTCATGAATCTATATCAGTCGATTGTCCTTCAGATGGATGAAATGCAGGTTTATGAAGTAGGTATTAAGTGATACCTATTTGTATGAGGGCAAATGATGCTACCTTGCTGCCCAAACCTCATTAGGTGGGGCGGGCTTTTCGAACCTGTGACCAAAAGCCAAATCTCCACAGCCGATTGTTTTTACTTCTTATATTTTCCCCATATTTTACTCATATTCATTCTTATGTTGGTAGTTTTCAGCAAACTTTTCATTTAGGCAGTTTTTCACTTTCTCACAGCCTACCATTATTCTATTAGCGTATATTCCACTTAATGGCTAGCAGTGAAAACCAGAAAGTGCGTTTCGTCCTATTTAGGACTCGTCAGCTGGATGTTCCTGCACTCTAGTGAGTGATGTTGTTCCCACTGAGACTCGAACCTAGTACCCATCGCTTTAAACTCGAAAACTTTACCCACTGCTGCACGGGAGCCAAATTTTTGTGCAGTGGGCATCAGTTGCTGTCCACTGACGCTTGTAATTTTCCGTTACTATATTGGATCGAATTGCTCCATCCCTGTTGGTAGTGGTTAGTGGATAACGCTACATCCAACTAACGAGTCTCAAACGGGAAGAAACGCATGTCGTGGATCCCGATACAAGTCAACAAAATGATTACAACATCGTTAATACCGGGAAGTATCGAGGCAACCGCATAGTAGCCCTTCTGCCAACAGCAGTATAGCAACGGGAAATTATAAGGATCAAACGTCAGCGTACATTCCTTTCAATATTTAAGGCTTCAATTCGACTGCTAAGCTGTTGAACTACTGATGCACTTTCATGGATTACTTTTATTTTTCATTGGTCTTTGAATGTATTATGTATGAGTCGTTTTTGCTTTATGAAATTGACAGTTTTATCTGAAAATATAAAGAACTACATTGATTGGCCATGGGAGAGAAAGCAATTTCATTTCGTCTAGTCGTGTTTAGTGACCGAATTCTACTGGTCATTTTTACAATGTAGCCATCAAGCTAGAAGGTTCAGCATCGTGGTGCACATTGATGGATGTTAGTTGGTCAGATGGAATTGGTAGACAGCTTTGGATCTAGGTTTCGTGTTTCTTGGCACTCATCAGCAGAACGTATCTGCAACTTCGAAGGAACTGATGTCCCCTACGAGATTCGAACTAGCCCCACTCATTAATGTGCATAGAATGAGTTATTCTTGTATTGTCTATTAAGGGTCATGTGTACCGCACAGCAGTTTGCTCTGTTCCGCTGTATGGCTGTGAAACATGGCCATTGAAGGTAGATAACATGAGGAGGCTTCAAGTGTTTGACCACCGTTGCCTTCGTAGTATAGACTGTATTCCGTCGTCTCACCATATGAGTAACGCAGACGTCAGATGTAGAGTCTTAGGGAGTAGAGGTAAATCAGTTGACGAGGTTATGAACCTTCGTCAACTAAGATGGTTGGGACACGTATTACGTATGCCTAGTTGCCGCCTGCCTCATGATACAATGTTGGCTAAATTAGGTTCAAGCTGGAAAAAGGCTCGAGCTGGCCAGACTAAAACATGGCACCAATGTATGAAGTCTTTGACTGTTGGTTTGGGCCATGTGGGGCGGTGAAGACTAACCGGTTGAGGTCCGCGGGAAAAGAGAAACCAATGGTTGGAGACTGACTGTAGTGGTGCAGATGTATACACACATTATCCTCATCTTAACGACGCCATACCAAATCTCACCGTTTTCTCATTCTTCCTTTCTCTCTTTTCGTACTTTATATTTCTTTTGGCAGAATTTTCTTTTCTTCATCTTCTACTTCACTGCTTTTTCACTTGATGTGGTGATTATGAGGTGTGGCAACTCTGACCGTTACTCAGTTAATGCCTGTTGATTTGGATGGATGGATGGTGTACTTACTAAAATAATTCATGTAAGAAATACTGTCAAACTCATATTGAATATTTTGCTAGTTGATTTCTTACTTATTTCTATACATTAAATATTTTTCCTTTGATTCTAATCTTTTAAGAACACAGATCTAACTATCAGACAAGTTGCTGATCGGTTAAAGGTACTAAGGGAATTGGTTGTCAAAACTGAAAATGAACTGTAAGTCTTATTGTGATATGCATAAATGTTAGTGATATATTTTTTTAGAGGAGTAACTTTTCTTTGGTTTTTTGAGTGTGATTTCAGTTATACGATATTCCTTTATAGAACTGAAGTGATAGTTGCTATCGAACAAAATAGGCAATGCCTAAGATTTCACATAGCAATAAGCTGAGGAGATTTAAGTGCTAACACTTCTCAACTGTTGCTTGATATACTGATATAAAGTTTCACAGTAATGCCTGACTCTATATTGATATTGATAATGATGATGGTTGGTAGCACTAAACTAGTTGTAACGAAGTATATCCATTCGTCTGTAAAGATTATAGTAGAGATGTAGAGGTCAAGTATTTTTTTTTCCTTCAGAGTAGTTGGTCAATTCTAGTTTATAAAAGGTGATAAAAAGCTTCACTTGTTAAATGCATAGGTGTCAACCTCACTAATATATCTCAGAAATCTTTGGATTTTATAATATTTGTCATATGATAAGTGTCAAGAAATATTTTGGGGCAAGAAAGATGCAATCACAGATACATATCGATTGAGATAACTCAAAATAGTGTGCTTCTCAAACTTGTTTGATTGTTTGTTGAGTAAAATAAGGTGGTTATAAAATCTCTTTTCGGCAATTTCATTCTCAAAGCCATACAGTCAAAAATTTATACAGTTTTCTTGTGTTACAATTCGATACTTAGAATTGGTTTATCGAATATGGTAACAAAAATAGTGTCAATACATTAGCTGTCATTAGAATAATTAAAAGAAACTGTAATGAATAGTTGAAGACTTATCAGAATATGACTAGAGTTGTAAAGAGAATCATAGGTTTAGATAAGAAATTTCATGACATGGCAACGTATATCTGGAAACTGAATCGTAAATTAAGTGAGAAGTATGAAGAAAAGAAGGGGGGTGACTAAAAATTAAGACCACGAAAAGAGAAGTTGAATAATTTTTTTGTGTGCAAAGTCCAGGTTTCTTCATATGGATAGCAAGGGTTTCGGCAATGCAGAAAATACAAAAACATGCAGGCTTTGGAAGGTTTTTTTTTCAATTTATAAATGACTTTCGACGAGGAAGTTGTTGGGATGGCGTGACTTGTATTCATGATGTATTTAATTATATCACTTCTTGCTGACCCACAGTTACCCTTTTTTTAACCACACAGAATAAAGCTCCTGAACCCTTTAGGATAACAGTCTCATCTGACGACTTATATACCTGGTTCCACTAGAGCAGGTGAATTTATATACTCATATAGAAGTGGTCAGATGCGAAATAATTGGGTGATGCAAAGAATGTTGTTCTTAGAGAGTTTGATATCCATCCTCCTTTTCAGAGTATCAGCGACAAAATCACCTTCTTTGTAGGGCCGAAATATCAACAAACTTCATACACATGTACAGTTTGAAAGTTTAATTAGCCAAATTAGCGATTATCTCCTCACTTCTGACCAGAAGTGACAACGCTACAAATCGACTATTACAGAATACTGCCATCAATACCTCAGCCCGAAAGTCAAGAAGCAACAGCCTCTTAACAAAAGAACACAGAGAAAAACTGAAACAATTGAAATTCAACAACGATTTGGTAATAACACATCCAGGCAAGGTTGCAGGCGTGGTTTAATTATCTTGGACAGAGTTTTCTACACAGATAAAATAGAGACTCTACTCTCGGATGAAAACAAATTCTACAGGACTAATTGAACAACAGCTCACAGATGTTTTAAGAACGTTTTAAAATGATCAGCTAATAACTGGTTCGATTCCTGCCGCAGTCCAAATTTTTATTCCACCTTCAATCATCCCTCAGTATCAATAGAAGTCTGCCAAACCACGGCTCTCTCACTCAGATAGTCAAAATGATAATCAATATGATTCTCCTCGTCTCTAATTCAGTTAGATTGAGGTTGGGATGAGAAGTCCTGACTAGACAGTCAGTGTGAGTACGATCATGCGGTAGTAACACATCACGAATTCACATGGTAGTCGGGTAAATCCCCTGGTGATTGAAGTGAAATAAAAATCTGTGCAGCAGTCGGACCTTGTAGATCAGCTGGTAGAGCGCCGGACCAGAAACCCAGTGGGTCACTAGTTCTGATCTGACCGCGGTCTATATTTTCACTTCCCCTTGAATCATCAACCAGTGTTAATAACTAGTGATCAATATGACCTCATCAAACCAACAGTTTCGACAATCCTATGACTTAATGGGTTGCCGAAAAAATCCCAAATTTTTAATTTACTCCTTCGTTTGATTCTAGATATGTCTGGATCTGGTTAGCTACCAATTTCGAAGTAGCTAACCGAAATCCTAGAGCCTATCAAAAAAAATAGCCTACCACTCTGTATGTGACACTTGAACTTATTGATTGCATAAGAGACGTGAACGTATCGCATAAATATGTGATACCCCTTGATATCGAGTCACCTTTCACTAAATGTTTCATTTATTGAAATTACCTCTTTCTTATTCAGATAAGTAGAAGATAACAACTTGAGTGTTGGGATACCTCATTCAGATGAGGATTTAATGTTCAATTCAAATTTAACAGTTTAGGATAATAGTAAAATGTGATTATCTATCTCTCACCTTTTTCTTAAGCATACAATATTCAATTTACACTCGATTATCAACAATGCTTTAAGCAGACACATTATTATTATTATGATTATTTCCCATACTAATATTTTCTTCATTTGAAAAAGACGGAGTACTGATCGTATGATTGAATCGTGTCGAACAAACCCTAAATTTGGTGATATGGATTGTTTGGTTCGGGCTGCTGCTATTTATAGTAGACGCCTGAATTCCCTAAAACAGCACATTAAAGAACTTGAAGTAAGTATTTTTGAAGTTTGATAACGATTTTCTTACTCTTTTTATATTTCAAATAGAATTGATTGTAGGATGTATGGATCTGTACCATTGTGACTGATCTGAAATTACGATACCCAATCTTTGGCGACAGATATCCGCGTCTTCGATGTCTCGTCTGTATGTAACTTCTTTCAACCTTCTGTCTACAAAGCCCTACTTTGGCTGCATGGCACACAACGAAGTAGGTGGCAACTCTGAGCATACACAATGTATGTTCAAGATATCTCTACTACCGAAGGTTCAAAACTTTATTGAGTAACTTGACTTCCTTGCCTAGAATCCTACATCTAACCTTGCCATTGCTTAATTGTTGACCTGTGCTAGGAAGATAAATGTTGCCAGAAACCTGTCTGCCCTGATATCTCCTACTTTCAATGGTCATGACTCACGGCCGCACAATTCGACGGAGAGCGTCATATTCTTGTCCTTTGGTGTGTAGTTAACTATCTCGTCGCTTTAAGTGGCGTCAGTTGGCAGGTGTCAACATTCAACAAATCATTACGCTCATTATTCTGGAGGACAGGTATGTGTAGTGGTTTATAGATCTAAAAATGTAGGTGGTCGTGAGGATAGACATCGAAGTCTCATGAAAAGTAGTACTTGTCATCGTGAGCTACTTCATCTACTTGATATATACTCTGTTGATTCGTAAGCGCAGTTCTCTCAAACTTATATTCAACATTTCTTGAATCAGCGAAGTAGTCAGACCACCACATTGTATAAACTGCTGTAGTTAGTTTCGCCGAATTATCTGTCTGTCGGCATATATCGATGTCATCATTGATTTTTGCTTCTCTCCTGAATTTCTGCATTACGAACACCAATCACATGTTATTTTTCTTGGCTAGTCAGTAGTTGGGTCTCGTAGTTCATTTGGTAGAGCACCTGGCCAGAAACTCAATGGTTATTGGTTCGAATCCTATATCGGCCCGAATATTCATTCCATCTTCAATCATCAACCATTATCAGTAATCTCTCCATTTGAATTTAGTTGGTTGTCAAGTGTTGCTTTCTGTTGCTTTCAGTTTAAAAATTCGTTGCTGTTAAAGATGAAGGTGTCATATAATGGAGAGCGATAGTTCCATTTCTTTTCAGTTACTTTTACACATCACTTGAAAGTTTTCGCTTGTATTTATAAAGAAACCAGATAAATGAATATTGAGGTAGTATTTTATTTACCATGGACTGACATCAATTGGGGAACCATTGAAAACCTGAGAGTACTGGATAGCTGTTTCTTCCTAGTATGGGGCTCCTCAGCAGAGCGCACCCACGACCCGGCTAGGGATCGAAATCAGGACCTTCAAGAACAATCAAAGTCATTTTATTATGAATTTATGATCTGAGCCTGTTGAATGTAGAGTGTCATATCTTATGTAAACTCTTCTACTGACCAAAAAAAGATTATTGATAAAAAGTGTCGGCTAATTCTTCTAATGGCTAGGATCCAAGGAAAGCTAGACACGGTTACAAACATTTATGCTTTTTAAGAGTTCAGAAAAACTTGACTTTTTATGTAAAAATCGACATAAGTGATAGTCTGTTACTTAAAAATTACTTGATAGGATATTTTAAATGAAAATGAAGGACAGAAAGTTGTAAAACTATGTTATCAAGGTACATCCAAATGATAATGGTAATGTTCAATGGTCTAAGGTAACCAAGCAGTAACCTTTACGATATGACTGTCACTAGAGAGAGAGACGGAAACCTCTCCTGGTTAACTAGTTCACTAGTTACTAGCCGATCCTAACCCCGGGTAAAGAGTGTGGGTTGGGCATAGGGCTACCAACCCTACCCCGCAAAACCAATCCCGTCGCTAAAAAAACTTCAAAGCACAAACAAAATATAAAAAATGAAAACAAAATTATTTCTGACTGGGATCGGAGAGGCGAAATGACACCGGTCGGTGAAAACCTTCAGGAAGCCAGTTGACCAATGTGTCTTCTCTCTCTCGATGAAAGCGAAAGTAAACGTGGGGACATGGAATGTCTGCACCATGTGTGAACCCAGCAAGGCTGCCCAGATTGCAAACGAGATGCGAAGGTATAGCATAGAAGTGCTTGGAATTCGCGAAAGCAGATGGAATAGGAGTGGACTCTCCAAACTGTCAACTGGGGAGGAGGAGTCATTAATCTACTCCGATATTGTCACCCAGATGACAAACACGAGCACACTGAGTTCTCGAGTGGCCATCATGATGTCCCCATGAAGAGCATCGAAGGCTCTCATGCAGTGGGAACCAATCTCCTCCTGCAGGATCATAACAGCAAGGTTCTACTCAAGTGGAAGGAAGGTCACAATCATACAATACTGAGCTATGCACTTACAAATAATGCAGATGAAGAGAAGAAGGAGGAATTCTACAGACAACTACAATCAACACTCCACAAAACCTCAGTTGGAGACATCAAAATTCTAATGGGTGACATTAATGCCAAACTGGGAGGGGACAACACAGGAAGAGAACTAACCATGGGTCGAGAAGCGGTCAGTGAAATGATGAACGAGAATGGAGAAGTGTTTGCAGAATTCTGTGCATTCAACGATTTGGTGATTGGAGGGACTGTGTACAAACACAAGGATATTCACAAAGCGACATGAATTTCACCAGACACCAGGACACACTACACTAAAAATCAGATCGACTTCATGTCAATGTGAAGAAAGTGGAGACACAGTCTACTAAACACAAGATCAGATCGAGAAGAGGAGCAGATGTATGTTCACACCACTCACTCTCTAGTGCAAGGAACCTACCTTCGACATCAAGTTGAAAGCCTTCAAAGAAGTTGGTGATGACAGACCACAGTTCAAGTTCAACACCCAGAACAGAGACTGAACTGAAGGATGAAACTACAAACGACATTTTCAGGTCAGCCATCAGGACAAGATGGGAGACACTGAGCAACATCCCTGAAGAAACCTGTGTGGAAGAAGACTGGAAGTCTTTGAAAGAGATGTGGAAAGAAACCTGCATAACCGTATTAGGAAGGAAGAAGGTGGAAGATAAGGAATGGATCTCGACGGACACGTGGAAGCTGATAGAGGAATGAGAGGGAGACGAAGATGGTGAGGCAGAAGATAAACCAGTGCAGTGCAAGGATGAACAACGAGAAGAGGAACTTAACACAACATACACAACACTACACTGGACAAAGAAGTGAAGAAGAGTGCACGGAAAGACAAAAGACACTTCAACGACACGTTGGCAAGCGAAGCAGAACAGGCTGCCAGTTGGTTTGAGAGACCTGACAACACTGTATCAAATAACCAGGTTATCATCTGCGAGGGGAGAGATCAGCGTAGATGAAACCAATAAAAGATGATGAAGGAAATTTAATTACGAAAGAAGAGAAAGAAAGGGGACGATGGGCTGACCACTTCAAGAAGCTCTCGAATCGACCACCACCACCACCATCTGCACTTCATCCAGAAATACCACCTTCAGCCCAACCACAGAACTGTCAGTGAACACAAGCCTTCCAACGAAAGTCGAAGTCCTAAACGCCATAAAGTTGATGAAACGTGGGAAAGCAGCAGGACCAGATGGGATAGTGCAAGAAGCACTGAAAACAGACACAGGAACAGCAGCAGACATGCTCACACCAGTATTGAAGAAGGTTTGAAAGGAAGGAAAGATACCTGCCTATTGATTGGAAGAAGGTCTATCATGTGAAACTCCTGAAGACGGGAGTTCAATGTATTTGCAGCAAAAAGAACTGGCGCGGAGTCATGCTCCACTCCTGTCCACCTAAAGCAAGCAAAATATTAAGTCGCATCATCCTAGAGAGACTAAAGTATGCACTAGATTCAAAACTGTGACCGGAACAGGCTGGCTGGCTGGCTGGCTTCAGGAATTACAAATCATGTGCGGACGAAATTGCAACGCTACGCTACGCATCATCATAGAACAGAGCATAGAATGGCAATCAGCTCTCTACCTCAACTTCATCGATTCTGAAGAGGTCTTCGATCTAGGTGTCAACCGAGAAGTAATTTGGTAGTTGCTTCAACACTACGAAGTGCCATTAACCTTTGTCAACCTCATTCAACGGCTATATGAAGATGCGACATGTGAAGTAATTCACAATGAGAAGCTCAGTAATGCTTTTGAAGTGAAGACAGGAGTGAAACAAGGCTGTCTACTATCACCCATGATCTTCCTGATTGTGGTCGACTGGATCATGCAACAAACATTGAGGAGCGAGAAAAGGGGGATACGCTGGACCGCGGAAAAGACCCCACAAGAAGATTTGGACTTCGCCTATGACTAATGTATAATATCATACAAACTTGAAGATCTACAGGCGAAAACTAACAAGTTGTCAGAAGAGACAGCGAAGACGGGACTTCAAGTGAACGTAGGAAAAACGAAGGTGGTGATGATACCCAAAGAACACCACCAAGAACAACAGGCTCCAATCACTATGAACGGGAGAAACCTTAAGGAAGTAGCCTCCTTCACCTGTCTAGGCTGTACAGGCACAGACGAGGATGTCAAAGCAGCCAGGATCGGAAAGACAACAAGACAGGCGTTAATTAACCTGAAACCAGTTTGGAGGTCTTCTGCACTCAGCATAAAGCGTGAACAGCATCCGGATTTTCAACAACAATTCAGTCGTCAGTGCTTCTGTGTGATGGTTGAGAGACTTGGTGCGTTACGAAAGGGATTTCCAACAAACTCCAGACATTCATCAACAACTGCCACCTACGCTGGCTCGTTACTGAAGCTCAGATGGCCAGAAAAAATACGCAACAAGGAACTGTGGCTGGCAACGAACCAACGGGGCAAGAAGCTATCGCTGAACAAATATGCAGTGTAAGGAAGTGGAGATGGATTGGGCATGCACTGAAAAGACCGACTGGGGACATCACGCACCAGGCCAGATGCTCGAGTGGAAGCCAAACGGGAAACGACGAGTTGGGCGTCCGAGGTGAGGGTGACATGGAGGAGATCGTGCGAGGAGGAAATGAGAGCTTGTGGGCTGTCGTGGAACCAGGTTGAAAAGATTTCAGAGAACAGAGCGCACTGGCGACGTGCTACTAAAAGCCTATGTTTTATTAGGAACCTAAGGGACAAATAATAATAATGGAGAGAGAAGGCAGTATCAAATTGCAAGTAGGAGAAAGGCATTCAAATCAAGTGATCTCCTGTATTTCTGTTCACTTTATTCTATGAAGAAATGAGATAAATTGTCATTTCTATGCTTCGCTGTACTTACATACAATAAAATCACAAATAATTTTTCATCTATGCTTTTAGGTGAAATTTAACAATCTAGGCGGTGATATAGCCTTTACAAAAGCTGAATCAATAGCTGAAAAGCTTAGCTCACGTGCAGTAATCAATGCTAGCACAAATGCTTCAAAGACTAATATTCAATCTGTAAATAGTAAATCGTGAGTTAATCTCTTATTCAATAGGTTTTCTTAAAGAAAATTCCTTTGTATTTAACTGACCTATTTTTCACCATTTTTTAAAAACTTTTTATTCCTTCTCAATACCGAATGACTGTGAGTAGGATGAGTGTCTTACAGTTCATTTGGACATTTTGTATCTTCTCTTACTTGCGATATTTTGGGGGTCAGTCTCTTGTATGCAGACAGACAGACAAAACCAACGTAGAACCTCTCATATAAGGCTACCGCTTCAAGTTCCCACACTTTGCAAAAGTATACAAAGACAGGTGGATAGAATAAGTATAACATCAAAGTGGGTTAGGAAGATCTTATTGTTGCAACTAAGCAAAATAATTTGGTTTACCAACAGTCAGAGACTTTATCGACTGGTGCCACGTCTTAGTCTGGTCAACATGAACCTTGTTCCAGCCCAACCCAATGAGCCCTGCACATCGAGGTAGGTAGTGATTCGGTATGCGCAGTATATGTCCAAGTCACCTCAACCGATGAACGTTCACAACCTCTTTAATCGACTTGCCTATCTTGCTTAGTATCCTTCGCTTGACCTCAATATCGTTCACACAGTGATTCCACGAAACACGGGCTATGCTACGAAAACACCTGTGGTCAAAACCCTGTAATCGCTTGATATCTTTTACTTTTGAAGACCATTTCTCATAGCCGTATAGCAGAGCAGGACAGCATAATCGTCCTTTGTATACAAAATCTTAATTGTTGCTTTGCGCATATGTAAATCACCATGGGCGTATTGTGTAGGGTTATACGAAGAATAGTTTATTTTCTCAATATATTAAGGGCGATTCAGTAATCATGCTTAAAGTCAGTAAGTAGTAAGTTAAATCAATCTATTAGCAATCCGAATTAGCACACTTCAAGTTAAACAACAAGATATGTTATGAAAAGACAGTGGGGAATAAAGCGTTAAGTATGCAGCATTTCTGGTTAGGCTGTAGAATATATAAACATAAAGGATATACACCAAGTAATTCTGAGTTATATCCTGTTGGCTGTCTGTAATCAGCAGTTTATAGGGTTCTCATAGAAATCGTTACTAAAATACTTGTATCAGTTTCTGCTGCACAGTGTCACTGTATAGTATAATCACTAAAAAGTACACACCTAACGGTCTGTGATATTAATTAACATTGCCTAGGAGACTGTATTCTCTTGATTTCTTCAAGGAAGGTTAATTAGTAAAGAGTCGTTCTTATCGAGATTCGCTAAAATGAAGTATCTAGTGGAAGTTATTATGGAAGCAGATAAGTCTGGGGGAAGTGGAGCTGTGATTCAATAGTTTAAGGAGATGAATATCAACCCATGGGGCATGGGTTCGAACCCTGCTCCATCTACCAAGGTTTGGACAACCAGGTAGTAGTATTATTAACTTTCACACAGATAGGTATGACTCACTGCCTACTGTACATATGTGCAGAAGGTGGCTGAGTACATTTCGTTTCATTTCCATCCATTTCAGTGCAATAAAGATTTTGCTATCAGCCTAGAACATGGAAAAATAATTGAGATGGTAACACATTGCACTTATTCCAAAAATCCACCTGTACTTTATAAGAAGTATTATACTTTAAGCCTTTATATGATATTCACTTGACGCGACTCGACCTATTTCGCCCTCGGCGACTCGATAGTGACTCGTAGTCTCTAGTATATAAATATTTACAAGGATGAGTTAGATCACTTATTAACGAAGAAAGTAAACCAAAGCAACAGGAAATCACGAAAAAGATGGGGTAATACAACAGTAAACTTTCGGTGTGACGACTGAGGTTAAAGTAATGTATGAATGTAACTGCACCATTGTGATCTATTCTGACCAATATCATACAGTTACCAACCATTAATTTCGACCGTTCATCCAGGCCCCAACCGAAAAGTCTACATTTTATTACACAACTCAGACCAATAGTCACAGATTTCATGGATTCTTGGAGATTCTCTTACTAGACAAGATAATTGATTCCAAAACACTTGCCTACTGCACGAATATACACAAGATTGATGAGTCCACTTCAGTTCAGTTTCAATGAGTCACACCTATTGTTTGAGGGATTATAATACTATTCGACTGCCCGAACCTCGACAGATGGGGCGGTGTTCTAACCCTTGACGTCTTGTTTAAAGTTATCTCCCCAAACCAATGAATCACAGCTCTACAACCTCACAGTTACTTAGTTCTAACTATTCATGCAGTGGAAAATATATGAATGTCATTGATTCTCGCTAATTTCATTAATGTATTTCCGCAAGAATCATTGGTTCGATTATACGGTTTACTGTCGGGAAGTAATTTTGAAACCGAAGTGAAAATAGGATTTGATGTGACTTTATACACCCTTCCATCTCCAACTCAACTGAAAGAAAGAATTTTTCCAACATTCGACTTGATTATAAGTCATAATGGGATCCTGAATATTTACCAACTCATCAATTTTTTCAAACTGACCTCGTAAGAAATGCATGTGTTGTAGTTTCTCTATAAAGGATATAAATTAAATCCAAATTACTTATTCCAGTCTTGTAGCTCAAATCGAATCCCAAGTTGTAACCAGGATTACGTAGTATTAGTACAAGACAGATAAAATCAACACAGAATCTCCCATAGAAGTGCATCGTTTCAAGTTGCTAGACTTCACAGCAGCACCCAAAGAACTAGTAGATAGAAAGAGAGTGATACTAAAATAGATAAAGGGGAATGAGAGGAAAAGGAGTTTGTAAGTTTCAGTTAGGGAAAATTTAAGTCAGTGTTTGAGAAGTTAGATGTGCCTAATTATTTATTATTATTAGTCCCTTGGGTTCCTAGTGGAACATAGGGCTTCAGTAGCACGCCTCCAGTGACCTCTGTTCTCCGAGATCTTTTGAACCTGGTTCCACGACAGCCCACAACCTCTCATTTCCTCCTCGCATGACCTCCTCCATGTCACCCTCGGACGTCCAACTCGTCGCTTCCCATGGGGATTCCATTCGAGGGCCTGACGCGTGATGTCCTCAGTCGGCCTTCTCAGTGCATGGCCAATCCATCTCCACTTCTTCCTGCATATTTGTTGCGTGATAGGTTCTTGGTTGGTTCGTTCCCAGAGTTCCTTGTTGCTTATTTTTTCTGGCCATCTGATCTTCAGCAGCGAGCGTAAGCAGTTGTTGATGAATGTCTGTAGTTTATTGGAAATCCCTTTCGTGACGCGCCAAGTCTCTGAGCCATACAAGAGCACTGACTTGACGTTGGTGTTGAAAATCCGTATCTTGTTCCACATGCTGAGTGCGGAAGATCTCCACACTGGTTTCAGGCTAATGAACGCCTGTCTTGCTTTTCCAATTCTGACTTTGACGTCCTCGTCCGTCCCGCCTGTAGTTGAAACAGTGCTTCCTAGATAAGTGAAGGAGGTTACTTCCTTCAAGTTTCTCCCGTTGACGGTGATTGGAGTTTGTTGTTGTTGTTGATGTTGGTGGTGCGGTATCTTCATCACTTCTGTCTTCTCTATATTCACCTGAAGTCCCGTCTTAGCTGCCTCTTCTGTCAACTTGTTAGTTTTTGCCTGCAGATCTTCAAGTTTATGTGACATTAGGCATAAGTCATCGGCGAAATCCAAGTCTTCTAGGTTCTTTTCCGTCGTCCAGTGTATCCCCCTCTTCTCGCTGCCTACTGTTTGCTGCATGATCCAGTCCACCACAATAAGGAATATCATGGGGGATAGTAGGCAACCTTGTTTCACTCCTGTCTTCACTTCAAAGGCATCACTGAGCTTCCCATTGTGGATTACTTGGCATGTGGCATCTTCATATAGTTGTTGAATGAGGCGGATAAAGGTTTGCGGTACTCCGTAGTATTGAAGCAGTTTCCAAATTACTTCTCGGTCGACGCTGTCAAAGGCCTTCTCAAAGTCGATGAAGTTGAGGTATAGAGCTGATTGCCATTCTACGCTCTGTTCTATGATGATACGAAGCGTTGCAATTTGGTCAGCACATGATTTGTACTTCCTGAAGCCTGCCTGTTCCGGTCGCAGTTTTGAATCCAGTGCGTCTTTAAGCCTCTCCAGGATGATGCGGCTTAATATTTTACTTGGGGTGGATAGGAGAGTGATTCCTCGCCAGTTCTTGCAAGCACTGAGGTCTCCCTTCTTCGGCAGTTTGACAAGGTAACCCTTCTTCCAATCGACAGGTACCTTCTCTTCCCTCCACACCTTCTGCAATAGTGGTGTGAGCATGTCCGCTGTTGTCTCTGCATCTGTTCTCAGTGCTTCTGGCGGTATTCCATCTGGTCCTGCTGCTTTCCCGCATTTCAGTAGCTTTATGGCGTTCAGGACTTCCATTTTCGTTGGGGGATTTATGTTCACTTGTAATTCAGCGGCTGCAGGTGGTATTTCTGGACGAAGTGCAGGTGGTGGTCGATTCAAGAGCTTCTTGAAGTGGTCGGCCCATCGTTTCCTCTGTTTCTCTTCTTTTGTAATTAAATTTCCTTCTTCATCTTTTATTGGTTTCATCTGTGTTGGTCTCTTCCCTGATAGCAACCTGGTTATTTGATACAATGTCGTCAGGTCTCTCTTACCTGCAGCCTGTTCTGCTTCACTTGCCAGTGTGTCGTAGAAGTGTCTTTTGTCTTTGCGTGCACTCTTCTTCACTTCTTTATCCAGTGTTTTATACATTGTGCTCAGTTCCTCTTGTCGTTGAGCATCCTTGCACTGGTTTATCTTCTGCTTCACCATCCTCCTCTCCTCTATCAGCTTCCAGGTATCCGTCGAGATCCATTCCTTGTCTTCCCTTCTTCTTTCCTAATACTGTTGTGCAGGTTTCTTTCCACATAGCTTTCAAAGACTTCCAGTGTTCTTCTACACAGGTTTCTTCAGGGATGTCCCTCGACGTCTCCCATTTTGTCTTGATGGCTGCTTTGAAGATCTCCTTTGTAGTTTCATCCTTCAGTTTCCGAGTGTTGTACTTGAATTGAGGTCTATCACCAGCTTCCTTGAAGGCTTTCAACTTGATTTGGAAGGTTCCTTGCACTAGATAGTGGTCTGAACCTACATCTGCTCCTCTTCTTGACCTTGTGTTAAGTAGACTGCGTCTCCATTTTCTTGAGATTGAGATAAAGTCGATTTGATTTTTAGTGTGTCCATCTGGTGAAGTCCATGTCGCTTTGTGAATATCCTTGTGCCTGAACACACTGCCTCCAATCACCAAATCGTTGAATGCGCAGAATTCTGCAAACAATTCTCCATTCTCATTCATTTCACCTAGCGCCTCTCGACCCATGGTTAGTTCTCTTCCCGTGTTGTCCCCTCCCAGTTTGGCATTCATGTCGCCCATTAGAATTTTGATATCGCCAACTGACGTCTTGTCCAGTGTTGATTGAAGTTGTCTGTAGAATTCCTCCTTTTTCTCTTGCTCTGCATTATTTGTAGGTGCATAACATTGTATGATTGTGACCTTTCTTCCTTTTGAGTTGAATCTTGCTGTCATGATCCTGGAGGAGATTGGTTCCCACTGCATGAGAGCCTTCGATGCTCTTGAGGACATCATGATAGCCACTCCCTCAGTGTGCTCGTGGTTGGCGTCTGGGTGACCAGAGTAGATTATTGATTCTCCAGTTGACAGTTTGGAGAGTCCACTCCCATTCCATCTGCTCTCGCAAATCCCAAGCACTTCGATGTTATACCTTCTCATCTCCTTTGCAATCTGGGCTGCCTTACTGGGTTCAAACATCGTGCGGACATTCCATGTCCCCACGTTTACTTTCGCTTTCATCGAGAGAAGACACATCGGCCAATTGGCTTCCCGAAGGCTTTCACCAACTGGCGTCATTTCGCCTCTCCGATTCCAGCGGGGAATAAGTTTGTTTTCATTTTTTATATTTTGTTTGTGCTTTGAAGTTTCTTTAGCGGTTAGATTTGTTTTACGGGGTAGGGTTGCTAGCCCTATGCCCAACCTTCCCTCTTTACCCGGGCTTAGGACCGGCTAGTAACTAGTAAACTAGTTAACCAGGCGAGGTTTAGATGTGCCTAAGGTTATATCTATTAATACACGAAGTGAAACAGGGACGGTGATGGCGGATATCACTAGCTGTTGTCAGTTTAGACGACAACTCCTTATAAGCCTTTATACGTCTATGTGAGTTCAAGCAGAGAGCTTTGATTAGTTTTCCATACTTATGTGGTACTCTATTTGCAGTCAAACACTGCCACATCACCTGATGGTCAACAGAGAGGCGAATACCGCCTTCAGGTCAAGAAATATGGCAAGTATCGGCCGCTGGTAGGTACATATGTGCTCCAGAACCTGTCGAATGGTGGGAATTTAACTGATTCACTCTCATACAGGCCTGAAACCTGCCTGGTTCTCTGGAGTTTGTTGCCCTCTAACTCCTGTTAGGCATCGGACAACTATGGACTCTAGGATCTTGGACGCGATATTAGTAAAACGGACTCATGATTGTCACAAGAAGACTTTTCTCCATTCCTGTAAACCGAAATGATCGGTGAAGTAGACTAGCCTTATGGGATTAGCTCTGATTCTTATGCGCCACATGATACCTGCGTTATTGCACCCAATAGTTTTCCACCTTCATCCTTATCAATGTCTAGAGGCAAACCGTCAGGTTCTGCTGTTTAGCATCGTTTCAAGTTTGGACCAACCTTCTCAACTTCCAGGAGGTTCGGAGGACCAACATGGACGTCTATTTCAAGCTACAGCTGGAGGCTGGGCAACTAAAGCGTTTCTATGGGCCAGTTGAACTGTGTTTCAAAGCGTTCTAGACACCTTTCCTAAGAGGCTATCAGGGATCCATACCTTTCGACCATAGTCTCACTAACCATCGTTTTTCTTCTTGTTAATATTTTTAATGTGGCTAAATAATTGCTGATTGTTACTTTGTGCTGATGCTTTCTCAATTTCTTTTGGTGTCCCCACCCACCATTGATTGCAGTTATTTTGAGGACTCTCAGTGTATTTACTTTTGAGCCGCTTTCATTTTTCATCGTGATCAAAGGCAGCTGGATTTAGTTTCCTTGCATCAATCTGACTTAATGAGGTCGCGGAAATGAACTTCATTTTGCTAAGCTTTGAATGTAGGTTACTAACTGTGTTTACCGGTGTTTCTGTCGCAAATTGAATATCACGCCAAGCTTCATAAGTAAGAGAATTGGTGTCATATTCGCATAAATCCTTTCTGTCTCCTCTCTGAATACATGTTTGACTTTCTCTTCTTATAGCCGAGAACACATCAGCTTTGTTGCTGTTTGTTTCTGCTCCTGGTAAGGTGCAAAAATATACATGTCCGTACTAAGGCATGATGGCAGTGCAAACAAGTACCCCCAGTCCCCCACCGATCCTGTTCAATGATGGCTTATAGCAATATGATCTGTCTGTGTTCATCGTTGGTTTGATTTCAGTGGATACCATGTGAAATAGTGTTTCTCCTTATGCATAAAGTTAGTACTGACCAGAATCAAATAACTATCAGCACAAAATTGTAAAGGATGACCACCGTTGTTGGTTGATAGAGTAGATATCTCCGAGATTCCTTTGTAATTGACTCAGGTTTCCTACGTAAGTACTGAAATCATCTGCTAGTGTGAAAAATCTGATGGTTTCCTTTATATGACAAAACTGACATCTTTTGTATCATAGGAATTGCAGTCGGTAGGCTTATAGATAGTGGTTATAAATAGATATCGATAAGTTTCAAGATCCTATCTAGTTTTTACAAATTCACTCAGTTGGACAGTACACAAACGGCTCTTGACTAGTATCCAATCGAGAAGCGCTTTTTCTGCTCAAGAACTTAACGCTATGTATACGCCAGCAAGTCTACTAGAGCTAGTTACTCGTAAAGTGAATTATGAAGACCCACTGCATTGGTCAGAGGAAGCGAAGTGAATAATCACACTCGGGTCCTATGTAGTCGCTTCAAAAGCACAACATGCATTTATAGCTCGAGACTTTAGGGTGTTAACAAGAAATGCCTGTTGTCTGATTTGGGTCAGGGTTCGGAGATTGAAAGATCCAGCGTGAAATCAACAATCGGATTTTAGGAGACTAGGAATAAGGTTTTGATAGCTTCGATTGTTGGAAATGTTCGTAGGGTGGGGCTGAAAAAGGTGTGAAATAAAACCATAGGAGGAGACAAAGATAAGGAGGAAAGGTTATGTTTGATTAGTTCTATATTAGAATTGTTTATTTGATATATTAGCGGACAGTGATACAGTATTATTTACTTGTTGACCTTTCGAGCATAAATTATTGCTCATAATCGTTGATGTGATATGATATGATAATTTATGCTCGAAAGGTCAACAAGTAAATAATACTGTATCACTGTCCGCTAATATGTCAAATAAACAAATCTAATGTGGAATTACATTCTACCGTAGTGCCCAAGTTTTATACTTATATATTTGATTAGGTTTTGTACACTGCCGAAAGTGTGCGGGTGGTTGATGCTTCCCGACTGCCCATACCGTGAAAGTTGTTTCTGCAAGGTACCTGAAAGAGAAAGAGGAACGGATTATTTGCCTATGGGACATCTGCTTAAGATCTGTTACTTGCAGTCTTTTTAGGATTGTTGGTTTTAGATTTTATTGTTCTAACCTATACCATCCGCACCGGAAGACCACAGGAAAAGCAGCAGTATCAGCATGATACTACTGGTCATCCGCGGAAAAAACCTTGCTGCTGTCACAACCTGTCTAGCCAGCATTAAAACTTCACCCCCGGACTCTCTTTGTAGTATATCAACCTACACTGTAATGGCAACTACTTTTCGTGTCACCACTATCCAACAAGCCTTTCTGGTGTGAGATAAGATTTCAAGTAACAATGGTTGCCACCAGCATAACTCTATTTATCGTTATGATAAGCATGTCTAATCACCGCGTCAAATTAGAGGGGCTGTCAGTCGGGTGACTCATGCGAAATAGTAGACGGACAGATATGCTACTAGTCAGTCATCAAACATCAACATAAGACCTGGCATTACTGCATTAGGCTTCAACTTGCCACTCTTCATATCAGCACACCAAGCGATAAAGCACCAGGATGAAAGATAAGGAAAGGAAGAAGAATCGATCAAGAGTAGTAGAAACTAGAAAAATATAGGAAGGAGGAATGAGGAAATACTGAATACAAGGATTAGGATGTGGATAATATATGGATATATCCGGACCAATGAGATCGATTCAGAGCCATATCTGTTATTATGCCAATCTAAACCAGGGAGCCTAATTACTGTCACACTGTTCGGACCAACAATCAAAGACTCATGCCATGTTTTAGTCGGGTCCCCCGCTGACCATTTTCCAACATAAACTTACTCCGGCCAACATAATACGTCGAGACAGATGGTGACTAGGCGTGTGTAGCATATATCCCAGCCATCTCAGTCGACGAAGTTTCACAACCACATCAACTGACTTTCCACTCCTCCTCTGCATCTTGTCAACGTCTTCACCTTACAGAAATATGTCATCTGTGTACTCTAGATCTACCAGGAAGTTTTCTGCAATTAAACCAATTTCTGTGATATCAGATGACGAAGGGTAGGCCTCCGTAAGCACTTCTATGATAAAGTTGAATAAGAGTGGAGATAGTGCTACTATTGTCGCTGCTTCAATTTGTTATGATCATAGCAATTTCTTGTGTGAATTTATAGACCTCAGTAGGTGAATGTGGACATGAAACGTGACCTATTGGTTGAAATTCGAACTGCTTAATTGTTAAGTCACAGCTCTGCTATGACGCATCGAGTACATAATGCACCTTAGGTGTTGATGTAATATTGGATTTTTTTTGAATTTGTGTTTCCCTTAGATTCGATGACGATGAAAGTGATCATTCATTTGACTCAGATGGTGAAGATGCTAATAATAACGCCAACAACAAAGATGATACGACTACTACTACTTCGAACAGTAATATAGATGTACATTCAGGAGCTCGATATGTTGGTTATGCTTCTGCTCTATACGAATATGAAGGTAAGTGTACATAAGCAACTGAAGTTTTTGCTATGACCAGCAGTACGACCTAACAGTTAACGAGCGATACGAGCCTAGCAGACTACGAATGATACGAACCTAACACGCAAACGAATCGATTTTAATGCAAATCAGAACACCAACCACCACTAAAATACCAACAAAGCGCGAAGACAAGAAAATAATACGGACTCTTGACAGAGAGCTCTTCACTGTCTCAACCACAGTCTACTAGCCACAACCAACCAAATTATAACAGCCAATACAGTTGACAGCGATGCTGAATATATACATTTCTAAATGACCTTGACAAACAGTAAATCCACATAAAGGTAAAAATAGTTAACAACCAATGAGAGTTGGGCCTTGAGAGGAAAGGGAAGAAAAAGTAGTAAGGATGTGAAAACACCCATGTAGGTTATTTTAAGGTGATGGGCAAAACAACATGCCAAAGCTATGCAAAATTAGGTATATATAGCAGTTATACACACTTTCACTCTTTTAAGTGTAACAAAAATGTATATAAAATGAAACGGCTGTATGTGCATAACCTTTGCGTAATCACTTAATCAGTTTAAACTATGTTAACACCTAATGGAATCAACTCCAGGTTTGTATGAAACTCCAGTCTTCTCCCCAACTGAGAACCAATGAGAAAGAAGACTTGACTTCATTGAATGACAGCCTTTGTTGTTACATAGTGACAAGATTTATGATAGTTATGTCAAAGCGCCATTAATATACTTCCAATATTTATATAGGATGATGATCGTGAAGATCAAATGAAAATTTAGACAGCTGCCGGATTCGAACCTACCTCCAATAACCTTGAATAATAATGAAATAGCCCATCAAAACTGTTAACCAATAGACAAAAAGTAAAGTAATTTAGTTATAACTCGTCTACTTCATTCTAACTCATCACGAGTGATTTTGTAGATTGATCTTTTATATCCTTTTGTAGTAATTCGTACATTTCCAACTGACATCTGATTTATGTAGTACAGTTTATCGAAGTAGATAGTGAGTGATTTTGTGCGTTCAGCCACCTCAGTTGTTCCAAGTTTACAAGCTTATCAAGCGATAAACTTCATTGCTTAAGTGATTAACAGTGTAGCCTTACAGTTATTTGTTGAAATTTACTGGTTGCCTTTTAAACTTGCATATTACGTTTGACTTGGTCGTATTTTTTGTATGTATGCGATTATCTTATTTCATTGACTTCTGGTCTTCTTTTTTCTTAACTTCTAATTATTATTGACTATGAACAGTCCTGTTAGTAATGAATAGTGTCTAACAGTGAAATCTAGGACGGGTGTTTCGTCCCAATCGGTAGTCTTCAGCTGGATGTACCTACCTCCCAGTGAGTGTTGTTCCCACCGGGACTCGAACTCGGGACCGATGGTTTCAAACGCCAGACCACCGAGTCACGATAGCCACTGCTTGTGCGACGATTATAGTTTTAATGTCAATAGTTTTAATATCCCAATACAGACCGATCATTTCGGTCCAATCAACAACGGGATAATACAAGCAACAACATTATGAACAGTTCTGCTTTGATTCTATTTCGTTGGGCTGTAGAATAGTCACTAGTAGTCTATCAAAGTGAGCCAGTAATATCAAGATAATGAGCCAAGTAACAATCCAATCAACTAATCTAGTGACTAATAAATTGGCACGTTGCGAAAAGCATTTCCAACAAACAACTGCAGACATACATCATCAACAGCTGCCACCTACGCTCACTCCATACTGACGCTGAAGATCAGATGGCCAAAATAATAAGAATATGCAACAAGGAGCTCACTCTGGTTGGAAACCAACCAACCAACCGAGAACCTCTCACCCAACAAATATGCAGTACAAGAGGAAAATGTAGATGGATTGAATTGGACATAGACTGAGAAGACAGTTTGAGGACACCACGCACCAGGCCAGGTCATCGAGTGGAAGCCGAATGGAAAACGACGAGATAGGCGTCTGAGGGTGATATAGAGGGGATCATGTGACGAAGAAATGAAAGCTTGTGGGCAGTGGTGGAGGCAGGTTGAAAAGACTGTAGAGAAGAGAGTGGAATGCCTATGTGCTACTGAATCCGTATGTTCCACTAGGAACCCAAAGGACAAATAATAATCCACTCATATTCAAGTTAAATCTATAACACTTGTTAATCTGAGTTTGTGTGTCACACCGCTATTTTTTGTCAATCACTTGAAAGTAGTGCTTCAAAGGTATTGGTAATCGAAGGCATATGATTTTCTAACATCTTCCAGTTTCGGTGACCTTGCTTTATGTTTGTTAATTACTATCCAGTAAACTTGTCTTTGGTAGAGGTATAGCTCATTAGCCTATGCACTCAACTTTCAACTATTAATTGACATATTCGAACTCCTCTTAAAGCACTAAGATCTCGGCAGTTAGATTATGTTTTAAGCGATGACATAACAGGCGTGGGTCATTGCCTATTGCACTAAGTTATACATGGTTGATGAGTGGATTTGAAACTTCAAGCTTGTCTTTAACTGGATGTTCACAACATTAAAGGTTAAGAATGTTAGTAAATAGAAAATGAACTGTACGTATTTCTATGTTACACCGTTCCGAAACGACTATTACACTCATCACTTCATTGAAATCGTCGATAAGTCTGGTGATTTTGCTTCCTTTTATTCTATCTTCAGGTTTGTGGAGACTTGTTATTTGATTTTTAGGTTGGAATTCATCATGGAGTGACATCAATCCGAAGAACATTGGAAACCTGGGAGCACTGGACAGCTGTTTCATCCTAGTATAGGACTCTTCATCAGTGCGCACCCACGACCCTGAGGTTCCGCGGCCAGCACGTTACCATTCACCTACTTAGTTGAAATTTAATGGTTCATATTCCCAACTTCTTTCATTTTGCGATATAGCACGACCGACATCCAATGCCATCGTTGGATAACTGTCCTGATATCCGACTTATGCTATATCGTGAAATAACAGAAGTAAAAAATACGGATCATTTGATTTCGACGCCGTGGCTCAATTTTGACGTGCTGACTACGGAACCTGAAGGTTCTGGGTTCGATGCCTGGCAGGGTGGAGTCATGGATGCACACTGCTGAAGAGTCCCACACTTGGACGAAATAGCTGTCCAATACTCCCAGGTTTCCAATATCCATCCAACTGATGTCATTCCATGATAAATTTCAACCTAAAAAGCAACTTCCTTTTATTGTTTTCACCAGCTATTTGAATCATTTTCCATTTGTAAGCATAAAAATGTATTCAAAACTTGCCTAGATTTTCTCTTTATACATTAAAAAGACATTGTTTCTTGTCGATAAATATATGTTGATCTGAGAATTTGTTAAAAGAGAAGAAGTACAAGTTAGCGCTTAAAATACTAACCTATTGAAAACCGTTTTAAAGACGAAGGTAAATAACATGTAGATTTCTACGCTAAGATGACGTTCAGTTGTTCTCATCCTTTATATCCATAAAACTGTAATCACTGAAATATTGCCATTAGAAATGGTAATGAAAGTTTTTTATTGCTTAGTAGGAGTTGTTGATGAGACAGACGGATATAAAGGACAACACAGGAAATATCGTAATTGTGTAGTGGTGATATCAAAGTAGAAAAAGTTGTATAAGAGAATAATCAATTTGAAGATAATGGGTAGCGCAAATAGATAAGCTTTATAAAATGTCGAAGAGTGAATACATCTACATCACTGTGACCGTTCTTCAGCTTTGACTCAGATCAATAGTAAGAAGTTTCATCGGCTGATGTGACGTTTTTGTCTGACAGCCCTGTAGTCTTTGCCAACCTAAACCAACTTCCCCTGATATGGCACGTCGTGGTAGGTTGTGGATCTACATACGCATTGTATGTTCAAGCCATCTCGGTCGACTAAGGTTCACAACCTCGTTAATTGATTTATCTGTCTTGCGTAGTACCCTTCACCTGACTTCATATGGTGATTCCATGAAGTGGGAGTAATGCTTTGAAGACATCTGTGGTCGAAATCCTATAACCGCTTTATATCTTCCACTTTCAACGACCATTTCTCACAGTAGTATAATAGAACAGAATGGAATATAGCGCAGTATAGCCGTTTTTTTGATAGACAGTCGGATATAGCCGGTGCCATTACAACACCATATCATCTTGGTGAAATGACGTTCATAATAATAATAATAGTAGGAATAAAGAGAAGAAGAAACTAAACGTCTTTGTTTGAATTTTCGTACTCTCACTATGTACTTGAAGGTCCCGGTCAACATTTTCACTGGGCAAAAGAAATGGGCAGATTGCAACGAAAACACGGGGCCAGGACTAGGGGCAAAATGCGGGATTGTGCAACATTTCCCTGAGTTTGTAGCCCCGATGTTTTTCCAACCTGCCCCACGTTTCCCTCCGATTTTCCCCTTGTTCTACCTCAACATTTTTATTCCCCGCATTTTGACTCTGCGAAAAATGTTGACTGGGGTAGTTCACAGAGCTTTCCAATCATCGATTTTTATTGTTATGAGAACAATCAGTCAGAAATCACATAGAGTAATGTGTTGCTGTAATGTGACCAAACTTAGTCTTTTTTCAGTCTGATTCTATCTGAACTAACAGGCAAGTCATGATAAAAAAGGTATTCAGTTGTTAGTAAAACAAATAAATCGAGTTCAAGGTTATTAGTGCGCAAAGTTGTAAGTCTTGCTTATTGTTTAAATATCGTTTTATAAACCATCAAAGAATGAGGTCCCTTAGGAAAGCCGGTCCCCGTGTTAATCAGATATCTTCGCCGACCAATCTTTGATTATCATTTGTACTTCATAACTGTATAACACTCACTTTTAGACTTTCATGTTTTGTCTACATCTTAGTATAGTGAAATGATGTCATCCTCACAATACAAGACAATCAGAGCATTCCTAGGTAGACTGAATTTCCGATAATCCAGAGAAACATGCGTTAATTAACATCTACGACAAACTTCATTTCATACGATAACAGTGGAAATCGCCAGCCTATTGCATACTGTAGTGTTCAGTAGATAAGTATACAACTGAATGAATGTGTAAAGAAATAGTTGGATTCTATACGAATACAGTCCACAGATGTATCTATGTTATATTTGACATGGAAGGAAATGTTTCTGTCAAATATTTTTTTCACCTATTACTATTAAATCGTATTAGCTATTGTAAAAGTGAAGTAATTAAGAGAGAATTACAAAATACGAGAACGCTACTAACGCAATGAGACACTTGAACTGCATATGAATAGCAAATGTTCTCCCTTTATAATCTGATACTTCACTGAGCTACAAAAGTCAATAGACAAAGACTGACCTGTGACTGTAAGGAAAACAACTTCCTTTGACATCATTTATATACTTTTTTTCCCCTCGAATATAAAGCCATTACGTCAAAAGTTGGGTACTTATTTTCATTGGTCAGTTGAAGGACAAAATTGTCCAATAGGGTTTTCCCTACCCACTTAGTAACATGAAACCAAGGTTGAAATTTAAAACTCCTACCTTTGGCGGCTGATGACTTAGTATACTAATTTCGATTGAGGCTGCTTTTGATATAAGTATCATAAACATTAATTGTTGCTTAGAATAATGTGTATTTTAATTACTTTATTGTGTATGTGTGTGTGTTTGTATGCATGTGACATCTTACATTTATTTTAGGCGATGGGAGTACTTATTTAGCAACAAAACCAGGTGAATTATATTATGTGTTGAGTGTAGACTCGACTAATTCTGGATGGACAGCTGTAGTATCTGAGGATGGAACACGTCAAGGTTTCGTTCCCACTGGTTATATCAATTTAACATTATACTGAAATGTGTTTCACAATCTGTTTGTTTTACTCGCCTGCTCTTATTTCATCCTTCACTTTCTATCCATTATTATTATTATTATTATTATTATTATTATTATTATTATTATTATTATTCGATTATTGTTGATGCATAACGTATTTCATTTTTCTGACTGGATGTAGTTAGTGAATTACACTACGATTGAAAAGGAAATGCCACTTATGAGTTTGTATATTGACTCAAATTGATTTTATTATAAATAATTATGATTTTCACTACTATTCAAAGTTGTTTTCATCACTTATTTATAGCATCTCACCTATCTATCCTCTATTGATTATACTAAGCAAAGATTACTTATTTATTCTAGGCTGATGATACGTCTATAACAGAGTTAGTATCCTTTCTCCTTTTAGTATTTCTTGTTTCACCCATTCTTAGTGCCTTTGTATATTCAGGTTTTATTGTTATCTTATTGATTAGTGCGATTTGTTTTTTGTTTTTTTTTAAATTATCCTCCTGTTCACTTTCTTTCATAAGGTAGTCTATAACGAATGTGTTGTATATCAAATCTTTACTCGCCCAATCTTTTATTTTCTTCACCTAGAAAAGTGTATTGTTAAATTATTGATTCTCATCTAGTCTTGGTTTACATTTCCACTTGTTTGTCTCCAATTTTCAATGGTATTAATATCTATTCATTAACTTTAACGTTTGTGCTTGTATGTATATGCGTGTATACATGCACTTTGTTCATTCCTATTGATTAATATTCACCGAGTGTTTGTCAGCTAATAAATTAGGATAGACGATGATGATGATGTGATTAGTTGTAGGCAGTTTTTACAGACACACACACATTTGCATATGTGCACACAATATTAAATACACAACGAATTAATCACAAGTATTGTTCCAGTCTATTATGTTTTATGCTGTAATTGTCAAACGTTTATAATCTCTTCCTCTGTATCCTTCTTCCATTATAACTATCTGCTGAAATTATTATCATTTAGTACCTCAGTTTGATTTATTTATCGTTTTTTTTTACAACCCTAGTGGAGTTTACCAACATTATCATTATTATTTAATTTCAACATTGTGAAAGAAATTATGTGAAGCACACATACAGAGTCATGTATGTATATGCCAGTTATTTTTTTCGAAGATTTTTCCTGCCTTTTGTTTTCCGTTCATCTTTTTGAAATAATATTATTTACAAACATATATTTCATTAAATTGTGTGTTATAATACGGTCCAATCGATAATTAAATTATATTTTGATCATTTACACATGGGAAAAAGGGTTGATATTGTTATTATCCCAAGAGAATATGACACGCAAGTTCAACTAATAGTTAATTGTTTGTGTAGGCCAGATTTATCAATTCCAATCCTGGATGAAGCAGAGAAGAATGAACTGATAAGCATCAACCAATCAGCAGATTACCTTGAAAATGGTGAGGGAGAAACGAACTACCGGCCATGGTGTAAAAATGCCGCGAAAACCTTAATTTAAATGTTCTATACAATTCTGGAGCCTTCCAAAAGATATGTATGCTGATTTGTTGAATTATATAAGATACTACCACTTTCAGACAGTTGTGTCTGCGCAGTGTAGCTGTATAAACCAGTTTACGGAGTCACTTGTAATATGTCATAGTTGTAACAATGAATGAACGGGTAGTAGTAAATAATTAATGCATTTGGCTTTGTGTTTAGGATAGAAAATAAGCTCAGGACAGAAATATGTTACTGTTTAGCTGAATGTATAATCGTTGACGTGACACGTTCTCATTATATATGATATCCTGTTGGTAATTTGATAATTCGGTGGATAAATAAAGAACGAGATTTTAACCTAGACTAGTGCTGTGTACTCGTTCAGGATGCGGTTTCAATTGATTATTTGTGGAGTGGTACTTTTCTAGCACACTGACGTCACACGAAATTGAGCAATAACAAGTCTGCAGTGTCTTCAGATGTCCCGGGCCACACGTGTGCTACAATGACAGTTCTACAGAGTCTACAAACGACCCAGAAGGGTTGGGCAAACTGTTTTATCACCGTTGTCACTGGCATCAGGGCTTCCATATATTTCCCCTCGACGGAGAATTCTTGCTAGATGTGAGTCATAAGTTTCCGCTGATTACATCCCTACCCTTTACACAAACAGCCCGTTGCTACAACCTACTGAATGGCCCAGGGAAGTCGTTGTATTGGTTCTCTTCAAGTGGCTGTGATGCCGAGATGACCTCATTTAACTCTTTCCATGAAGCCAAAGTCCTAACAAGCCTCCTCTAGATGGCTTGATTTCCTAGATTTCCTTTCATGTTCCAAATCTCATGTATTCATGAAATTTCTTCATATGTCTGGTCTTACGCTCAGTTTTCCTTTCTTATTACATTGTGCGAATTTTCAGGATCAGTTCAATTTGATTTCATCTAAGATATCAGGTATTCTAGTGTTCTGTAACTTTACTTGGTGGCAATGCTGTAAACTTGACTGACGGACTCCAGTCATTGCTGAAGACTAAGGATGAGTAGAAAACTGTATGGGTTACTCACTAGTGATTGATTCGTGTGCTGCAGCCTATATCACAAATAAATTTCACCAGAACATTCGTAACTTTCCCACGTAGAATGCTTACTGTTAAACATCTTGACATATATCAGTTGCCTGATGATGATGATGACTCTGCCAACCGGTAGCTGCTACCTTGACACTTGGTGGTCAGGTTTGTATATCACAATGACCCAGTGAGCTGTGCTGGTGGAATGCTGTTCCATCGAGGTCCTATCATACCAGAAAAGTTCGTTGCATAGTGATTAGACAAAAAGATGTTACCCATAACATGTTCTTAAACAATGAAATGATGCACCATGATGGCTTAGATCAGTCATCAGTGGTTAATGGCGATCCAAAACCACAGGACGTATGTCCGACCACACCTTCCATAATACAAGCCAGTTTTTGTGTTATCCAAAAGACCCTACATGATAAGCCTCTAACAGATTTCCTATGGGCTCTACGATAACCCACTAACCCTTTTCTTTCAGCCACCTCAAAAGAACATAACCTTCCACAGTGTGAGCAACCAGGACATGCCAACCACCCTCACAACTCTGTCAGCATTCAATTGATGATGATTCTTGGCTCCGTGTTATACCATAGTTAATGGCTGATTCCTTAGTTGTTTAAACCAATACCTTCAAGGTCGCTCAGATGACTTTGATATGTTGAGATCAGTCTCATGCTTATCAAAACAGGTTATATTAAATTAACTGTTTATTTTGCTAAATTTCGTCTATTCCTCATGAACACTTTTAAATCTTCATTGTTGATTATTTTTATTTAACGTGTTGACAACACTTGTACACGGAATATTTTTTAATAGGACACTCACAGTCACAATTTCACGATCGATCCATATAGAATGACCTACTAGACGAGCTTTTAATATGGCCAAGTCCATTTTCAATCAGTTATACTTCTTTTCCTATCAAAGATTCAAACTTACATTCATAACCTTAAATATTTTGTTCTGTCTAGAAAATAAAACATTTGACAAAGAAGTGAAGAAGAGTATGTGGAAAGACAAAAGACACTTACACGATACACTTGCAAGTGAAGCAGAACAGGATACTGGTAAGAGAGAACTGACAACATCTATATCAAATAACCAAAATACTATATGAGAGGGAAGACACAAACACAGATGAAATCAATGAAAGATAGTGAAGGAAATCTACTTACCGCCAAATAGGAGAAACAAAGGAAATGATGGACTGACCACTTCGAAGAACTCTAATCGACCACCTCCACTAATCCTCCTCCTCCACCTCCACCACCACCACCACCTGCAACTAATCCAGAAATACCACCAGCAGCCCAACCACAGAACTATCAGTGAACACAAACCCTCCGACAAAGTAGAAGCCAAGTCGTGAATGCCATAAAGTTGCTGAAAGCTAGGAAAGCAGTAGGACCACATGGGATAGATATTGCAAGAAGCACTGGAAACAGACGCAGAGAGAGACATCAGTGGACGTGCTCATACCACTACTGTAGGATGTTTGAAAGGGAGGAAGGTTACCTGCTTATTGATTGGAAGAAGGTCTAGCATGTCAAACTTGCAAAGAAGAGAGACTTAAGTATTTGTAAGAACGAGAACTGGAGCGGAATCATGCTCCACTCCTGTCCACACAAAACAAGCAAAATATTAAGCCGCATCATGTTGGAGAGACTAGAAGATGCTCTGCATTCAAAATTATGACTGGAACAGGCTGGTTGGCTTCAGCAAGAACAAATCATGTGCGCATCAAATCGCAACACACCGCTACGCTACGCATCATCATAGAACAGACCAAAGAATAGCAGAATGGCAATCAGCTCTCTACCTCAACTTCATCGATTTTGAAAAGGCCTTCTATCGAGGTGTCGACCGAGAAGTAATTTGATAGCTGCTGATTCAACACTACGGTCCCTCTGCCACAAACATTTATCAACCTCACTTATGTGCTATGTGAAGATGCTACATGCCAAGGGATTCACAATGGAAAGCTCAGCCTATTGACGCCTTCGAAGTGAAGACAGGAAGGATTAGGATAAGCTTGCCACCTACTATCATCGATCATCTTCCTAATTGTGGTCAACTCGACTGGACTGGATCATGCAATAGACAACTGTGAGGGGCTGTGAGAAGATGAGCATACACTGTTTGATCGATGTAGAGACCCCAGAAGAAGATTTGTATTTCACCGACGATGATGATTTATGTCTAGTGTCTTATGTAGCACAAACTGGAGGATCTACAGGTGAAATCTAACAAGTTGGCTGAAGAAATGAGACAGGGCAGAGAAGGAAGATGACAATTCCTTCAGTTGAACATGGAGAAGACACAGGTGATGAAGACACTCAACCAACACACAACAACAACAAGAGGCATCGATGATCATCAACGGGAGAAATCTGAAGGAAGTTGTCTCTTCCACCCACCTACCTACGCAGCATTGCATTGCATCGCATGACATCGCATGGCATCGATTCAACTACAGGCGGCACACGGACAGATGACGATGTGAAAGCCAACATCGGAAAGACAGGAAGACAGGCCTTCGTGTATTTATCTGAAATAATCAGTGTGGAGATCTACTGCACTGCACTGCACCCCACCCCACTCAGCACAAAGCGTGAACAACATCCGGATTTACAACAAGAATCTCAGTCAAGTCAATGATTCTATGTGGCGGTTGAGAGACTTGGTGTGTCACGAAAAGCATTTCGAACAAACAACTGAAGACATACATGATGAACAACTGCCACCTACACTCACTCGATACTGACAGTGAAGATGGAGATCAGATGATGAGAATGATGAAGAGAATAAGTGAGTAGGAACTGTGGCTGGTCCCACAACGAACCAACCTCCAACGAACGAACCCACAGAGAACCTCTCGCCTAACAAATACGCAGCAGAAGAAGGAAGTGGAGATGGATTGGATTGTACACAGCGTGAGAATATGGTTTTGGGGCATCACGCGTGAGACCAGGCCAGGCCGGGGCAGGCGAGGCGAGTCGAGGTGAGGCCGTCGAGTGGAACACAGATGGGAAACGACGAGTTTGGTGTCCGAGGTGAGGTTTACATGGATGAGGAGATGGTGTGAGGAAGAAGTGAAATGTTGTGGACAGTGGTGTATGTAGGTGTAAAAGACTGGAGTGAAGAGAGTGAAATGGCTATGTGCTACTTTATCCCTATATTCCGCTAGTGGCGTAAAGGAGAAATATATAAATTTTTATGAATAAATCTACCTTGAAATATGTTGACTATTACTTTCGTCTGTTCACTTGAAGTTGCATGTTTGTATGCCATAAAAACGTTACTAAAATGTTAGAAATGTTAACAATATCAATAGGTAAGGACACATTTTGCAATAGTTTACTTTTTTTTCTTCAATGAGGTTCAATGTCTAAGTATGTGAATTGTTACAATATTATTATTTGGTGTTGTAAATATGTCAATAAAGCTTGATTTATTATTTTTTTTCTCAGTTGTTTGGTTTGATTCATATGAATCAGTTGTTAAATCGGAACTACTTTCATAATAAAACGATATTAAATGAAGTAGGAAACGCTGGGCCACTGAACTTCTAGCCAGTGACTGAATTGTTAACGCTTCCATCCTATAATCTGAAACTTTTACTTTGATAACTAGGCCGGGTCATGGACGCACACGGCTGAAGAGACCCGTGCTGGAATGAAACAGCTGTCCATTGCTCCTAGTTTTTCATTGGTTCTCCAAGTGATGTCAGTTTGTGAAGTTTTTATTAATGTCCACTTTTTGGATCAGAAATTAAGTAGAAGTTGACAGTTCAAAAATATCTATGGATAATTTCTTTATTTCTGAAGTTTTATATATCCAAATTATTATTATTATTATTATTATTATTATTATTATTATTATTATTATTATTTAATTTGTCCCTTGGGTTCCTAGAGGAATAAAGGGATTCAGTAGCACGTCTCTATTACACTCTCTTCTCTGCAATCTTCTGAACCTGGCTCCACGACTGTTCACAAGCTTTCATTTCTTTCTCATACAATCTCCTTCATGTCACCCTCACCTCAGATGCCCAACTCGTCGTTTCCCCCTTCGGATTCCATTCGAGCATCTGGCCTGGTGCGTGATGTCCCCAGTCGGTCTTCTCAGTGCATGCCCAATCCATCTCCACTTCCTTACACTGCATATTTGTTCAGCGATAGCTTCTTGCCCCGTTGGTTCGTCACCAGCCACAGTTCCTTGTTGCGTATTCTTTCTGGCCATCTGAGCTTCAGTAACGAGCCAGCGTAGGTGGCAGTTGTTGATGAATGTCTGGAGTTTGTTGGAAATCCCTTTTGTAACGCGCCAAGTCTCTCAACTATCACACAGAAGCACTGACGACTGAATTGGTGTTGAAAATCCGGATGTTGTTCCACATGCTGAGTGCAGAAGATCTCCAAACTGGTTTCAGGTTAATTAACGCCTGTCTTATTGTCTTTCCGATCCTGGCTACTTTGACATCCTCGTCTGTGCCTAGGCTGCCTGTAGTTGAAACAGTACTGCCTAGATAGGTGAAGGAGGCTACTTCCTTTAAGTTTCTCCCGTTCATGGTGATTGGAGCCTGTTGTTGTTGGTGGTGTTCTTTCAGTATCATCACCACCTTCGTTTTTCCTACGTCCACTTGAAGTCCTGTCTTCGCTGCCTCTTCTGACAACTTGTTAGTTTTCGCCTGTAGATCTCCAAGTTTGTGTGATATTAGACATAAGTCATCGGCGAAATCCAAATCTTCTTGTGGGGTCTTTCCACCAGTCCAGCATATGCCCATCTTCTCGCTCCTCACTGTTTGTTGCATGATCCAGTCGACCATAATCAGGAAGATCATGAGTGATAGTATACAGCGTTGTCTTAATTCTATCTTCACTTCAAAGGCATCAATGAGCTGAGCTTCTCATTGTGAATTACTTCACGTGTGGCGTCTTCATATAGTTGTTGAATGAGGTTGATAAAGATTCGTGGCACTCCGTAGTGTTGAAGCAACTACCAAATTACTTCTCGGTCGACACCTCGATCGAAGACCTCTTCAGAATCGATGAAGTTGAGGTAGAGAGCTGATTGCCATTCTATGCTCTGTTCTATGGTGATGCGTTGCGTAGCGTTGCAATTTCGTCCGCACATGATTTGTAATTCCTGAAGCCAGCCAGCCAGCCAGCCTGTTCCGGTCACAGTTTTGAATCTAGTGCATCCTTTAGTCTCTCCAGGATGATGCGACTTAATATTTTGCTTGCTTTAGGTGGACAGGAGTGGAGCATGACTCCACGTCAGTTCTTTTTGCTGCAAATACATTGAACTCCCGTCTTCAGGAGTTTCACATGATAGACCTTCTTCCAATCAATAGGCAGGTATCTTTCCTTCCTTTCAAACCTTCTTCAATACTGGTGTGAGCATGTCTGCTGCTGTTCCTGTGTCTGTTTTCAGTGCTTCTTGCACTATCCCATCTGGTCCTGCTGCTTTCCCACCTTTCATCAACTTTATAGCGTTCAGGACTTCGACTTTCGTTGGAAGGCTTGTGTTCACTGACAGTTCTGTGGTTGGGCTGAAGGTGGTATTTCTGGATGAAGTGCAGATGGTGGTGGTGGATTCGAGTTTTTTGAAGTGGTCAGCCCATCGTCCCTTTCTTTCTCTTCTTTCGTAATTAAATTTCCTTCATCATCTTTTATTGGTTTCATGTGTGTTGATCTCTCCCCTCACAGATGATAACCTGGTTATTTGATACAGTGTTGTCAGGTCTCTCAAACCAACTGGCAGCCTGTTCTGCTTCGCTTGCCAATGTGTCGTTGAAGTGTCTTTTGTCTTTCCGTGCACTCTTCTTCACTTCTTTGTCCAGTATAGTGTTGTGTATGTTGTATTAAGTTCCTCTTCTCGTTGTTCATCCTTGCACTGCACTGGTTTATCTTCTGCCTCACCATCTTCGTCTCCCTCTCACTCCTCTATCAGCTTCCACGTGTCCGTCGAGATCCATTCCTTATCTTCCACCTTCTTCCTTCCTAATACGGTTATGCAGGTTTCTTTCCACATCTCTTTCAAAGACTTCCAGTCTTCTTCCACACAGGTTTCTTCAGGGATGTTGCTCAGTGTCTCCCATCTTGTCCTGATGGCTGACCTGAAAATGTCGTTTGTAGTTTCATCCTTCAGTTCAGTCTCTGTTCTGGGTGTTGAACTTGAACTGTGGTCTGTCATCACCAACTTCTTTGAAGGCTTTCAACTTGATGTCGAAGGTAGGTTCCTTGCACTAGAGAGTGAGTGGTGTGAACATACATCTGCTCCTCTTCTCGATCTGATCTTGTGTTTAGTAGACTGTCTCCACTTTCTTCACATTGACATGAAGTCGATCTGATTTTTAGTGTATCCATCTGGTGAAATCAAATCCATGTCGCTTTGTGATATCCTTGTGTTTGTACACAGTCCCTCCAATCACCAAATCGTTGAATGCACAGAATTCTGCAAACACTTCTCCATTCTCGTTCATCATTTCACTGACCGCTTCTCGACCCATGGTTAGTTCTCTTCCTGTGTTGTCCCCTCCCAGTTTGGCATTCATGTCACCCATTAGAATTTTAATGTCTCCAACTGAGGTTTTGTGGAGTGTTGATTGTAGTTGTCTGTAGAATTCCTCCTTCTTCTCTTCATCTGCATTATTTGTAGGTGCATAGCTTAGCATTGAATGGTTGTAACTTTCCTTGCTTTCGATTAGAACCTTTCTGTTATGATCCTGATCGTGAGGAGATTGGTTCCCACTACATGAGAGAGAGAGAGTGAGCCTTCGACGCTTTTCATGGGGACATCATGATATCCACTTGAGAACTCAGTGTGCTCGTGTTTGTCATCTGGGTGACAATATCGGAGTAGATTAATGACTCCTCCTCTCCAGTTGACAGTTTGGAGAGTCCACTCCCATTCCACCTGCTTTCGGGAATTCCAAGCACTTCTATGCTATATCTTCGCATCTCTTTTGCAATCTGGGCAGCCTTGCTAGGTTCAAGCACAGTGAAGACATTCCATGTCCCGATGTTCACTTTCGCTTTCATCGAGAGAGAGAAGACACATTGGTCAACTGGCTTTCACCAACCGGTGTCATTTCGCCTCTCGGACTCCAGTGAGGAATAATTTTGTTTTTCTTTTTTATAATTTGTCTGTGCTTTAAAGTTTCTATAGCGGTTGGATCGGTTTTACGGGGTAGGGTTGGTAGCCCTATGCCCAACCCATACCTCTTTACCGGGCTTAGGACCGGCTAGTAACTAGTGTACTAGTTAACCAGATGAGGTTGTATATCCAAATGCATGAAAATAATTTACACTTAGTGTACATAACTATTTTAAAAAAGATAAAAATCAATAATGATTCAGCTTTAATTTTTATTGATTTTTCAATGATACATTATCTAACTAATTCGCATTCATTCATCATTATTCATGTGAATATAAATCATTTACATAAAAAACTGTTGTAATTTGAGTTAAATAGTATCATTATTTCTGGAGAGATTTAAACAAGATGTTTTGTTAACTAGGTTGCTGAAATTTTTTCAAACGTCCCTAATGTGTATATACTTAAATCGCTTAAAGGTTACAACAAACATACAGATATCATACATATAGTCACCTTGATAAATGTGAACAATAGAAGAACAAAGAAAGAAATTTGTGAAATAAAATGAACTCGTTTTATTTCACACCCTTACATCAGCTGCTAACAGCTTACAATTGAAATGAAATATTCGTAATAATAATGATGCAACACACTTTAAATATGTTAAAATAACTGAAGATTTGAAATTCAGGTTTAACAATAAGGCAGTAAGTGATACAAAACCGTTAGCGATTTATATCTCTTGTGACAGAAAATTCTGGAGGCGTCGAGCACTAGGTTGGAGGGGAAAACAAACAAACATCAGTGTAAAAAAGTTGTGGAAGAGCTATTAGGTGAACTAATTACACGAAAAAACCAAAATGTGCCAAGTGACTAACAGTCAACAATGAATTACTCATGAGCCATTCCACACCTGCATATCAAAGGGAGCAAATTTGACGCCTAAAAGGTCCTCTGAACAAATGTGGAGAAAACTGTATCCCAAAGGTAGCAAGGTCTTTACCAGTTGGATGACAAGGAACCGGATAAAAACAGCAAATCAAATTATTTATTTCTCCTCTAGCTTCCTAGTTAAAAATAGCGATAGAGTGGCACATAGCCATTTCACTCTCTTCACTCCAGTCTTTTACACCTACATACACCACTGTCCACAACATTTCACTTCTTCCTCACACCATCTCCTCATCCATGTAAACCTCACCTCGGACACCAAACTCGTCGTTTCCCATCTGTGTTCCACTCGACGGCCTCACCTCGACTCGCCTCGCCTGCCCCGGCCTGGCCTGGTCTCACGCGTGATGCCCCAAAACCATATTCTCACGCTGTGTACAATCCAATCCATCTCCACTTCCT